TAAAAAATCTGAGTCATAGCCCTTCAGTACTGTATTCACTGTTAGGCCTCTACAAAATCCTAGAGTGTATAGTCAGGGTTTGAGAGTTCTGAGGTGACTTCCAGATTTGCAGAAAAGGCTTCTTACTACAAATCCTGCTTGTCACTCATTATTACTCTAATGACCTGACAAATATACTATTACTTCTGTAGACAGTCCTTAATCTAGTGCCCTGACTTTCTGTAGGCAAAGTATGCTCCTTACTTTTAGGCTTCTCTAATGTCTATTAGAACAGATTGATTACAAATTATAGGCAGATTGATCTAAGGGCTCAGAACTGTCAGAGCTGGACACATGTGTAGACATTCTGTACAGACTTGATACATTCAAGCTGTAGCTTAGTTGAAGGAGATGGTACACATCTTCCACTCAGTGTAGGTGACCAGTTCTAGCATTATTCTAAGAATCTTATTAACCAGTTCTAGGTGAAGAGCTTTTTCAAGCATTCTAATAAGGACATTATTGAACCCAAGTGTGAATCCTACCTTTTAGACTAGGATATCAAACTCCTGAAAGAAGGTATTAGTGGAACGTTTGCCCTGTTACAGAGATACAAGCTTGTTCTACACATTACACTTCTTATTCAGATTAATGAAGGAAGTACAGAGCTACCCTATAAATTCCAAATACAACTTGTTGTTCTAAAGTTGGATCAGGCTTCCAATCTGATGGCCTTCAATCCAGTTCTAAGCCTAGGTGGCTACATTGCCTTCCTTCATAAAGGAGAGGACAAATAGGACACAATCAAGATCTGAGGATAGATTAGTCAAAGTAGTAGCTATGTATAGTTTGACTTAGCACTAGAAGTTCTTAAAGTGCTACCTATTAAAGTCTGAAGGGTAGGCTATATGTACTTTCTTTCTAGAACAGGTTGCAACTTCCAGAACAATCAGAACAGGTTCTGAAGGGGCTAGGGGCACATGGTTGGCAAAAGCCTCTTAGATAGAGGTTTATACATATTGAGCTAGTTCTGCTTGTAACTACTGATCCAGCAGGACAGTAGGGGTGGCAGTCAGTATAGAAGGGTTCATGTTTACACTATGAAGGAATCAGCACTAAACTAAAAGGGGTAATGAATAGAAGAAGGGTGGCAAAAGTTTAAAAGGAGTTTAGGGAGTTTAAAATTTAAAAATGTAGAAGGGTTAGGACAAAGAAAAGAGATTGACACAACAGTGAGTACTGATGCTCAAAACATAGGAGAGTTGTAGGGTAGTAATAGGTAGTCTTGATCTGATGTTAGTAACAGTGTAGAGGGGACCTGAAAGCTCAGTGAGGGGACCCAGGCTACAACTATCCTACACAACAGAAATATGGAACACAAGTACTAGAACATAGTCAGAACTTGCAGAACAGGTAGAGAGAGAGAGTGAGACAAGAGTAGAGTATATAGAGTGAGCCTAAGAGTACAGGACTACCTGGAGTAGACAAGATCAAGACTACAGGACCAGTCTGATCTCATACACTTATATATACTAAACTACACAAGAGTACTCAGGGAGTATGAGCTACTTAAGAATGATAAGCCACAAAGAATGAAAGAAAGGAATGTCAAAGATAAAGGTACAAAGAATGAAGGGATGGACAAAGGGTAAGAGACTATAGAATGAACAAAGAATGAAGGGGTGGTCAAAGGAATGGAATGATGAAGTAAGGAAGGGCAGTAGTAAGAGTCAGTACACATATAGTCCATAGACAGTACCCCTGAGGGACAGAAGTCCCAAGTTCCAGTACAGAAGGGTGTGGAACCCTCAGAACTAAAGGTATGAGAGCAGAGAACTGTAACAGTAAGAATGAAATATGGCTTAAGGAAATTAATACAGTACTTTAATATCAGGTAGTTAGATAACTGTAATATTATACTAGGAACAGCAATTCTTATTCAGCACAACATTTCTACAGGATTTGATACATCTATACTATGGATTAACAGTAAAATACATCTATCAAAGACAGGAGAACAAGTCTTAGAGGCATATATTAAGGATATTAACAGTTTTGATTGAGAAACTAAGGAACTTACACAGGTAATTGACAATTGTAATACAGAATTGTATCAGGAAATAGTGGACATGCTATAACTACCTCTCAGAGTCATCAAACAGATGAAATTGCTTAGTAATAAGGACAAAGAATGTCAGTTTCACAGAGAAATACACTAGGATACTTGGTGAAAATGATTGCAATTCAAGAGAAAGTATTATATCTACACTAGAAGATTCAGTATTACTACAGAATTGAAAGCAATGACTACACTACTGCTTCAGAAGCTCAGAAAGATTATAGAAGACTCTATAGGACTAAGAACAGTCAGCAATCTCACAGAGCAAAGTAAGGAAACTAAGGAATATTTGTTTCTATCATTAGATATTAGATTTACTAAGCATTCAGCATACAATGAACCTTACAAGACACATTTTGTTTGGAAAATCAATACTAAAGTATCAGAATACATATCAGGATATTCAGTACTCATTAAAAGACAGACTAGTTGTCTAAGAATTGTCATAGCATTTGAGAACATTGAGAGATACAATCTACAGGATATTGAGGCTACAGTAGACATGTTAGCATACAAGGACTTAGGAATTATGCAAAAGACAACTTGATACATAGAGAATTATGCTTTGAAATATAGTGACAATGACTCAGAAAGGTTATATCAGATGCAGACTAGTATATCTCAGCTTTTAGAAAGAAAATACAGCACATATATTAAGCATAGGACCAGTTTCCTTTAGAAAACATTACTAGAAGACACAATAGTAGTACATCCACATAGTAGAAAGGTCAGAACAATTTGCAAAGGTATAGAATTGGACCTCTAAACAGAGAGCAAGTCTACTAGGAGTACCATACATTGACTCAAGGCACTAGACAAAGTGAAAGTACTCAGCAAGTTGGATATTCAGTAGACAATACTAGAAACATCACCCTAGAGTAATGAACAATTGAATTTACAAGAATTCATTCAATTGGCACACAAATTGGATACAAAAATTGACAGACAGGTATTCAAACATTATGAGAATAGTATTATCATTGAGGAACATAAGTAATGGAATTCAGTATTCGAAAGTAACACAGAGGAAACACAATACTGGAATGTATCACAGAATATAGACAATATACCTTAATTACTATTGGAAACAGACTTTACACAAGGTTTCAAATACCAAAATCATGAAGGAAACCTATTCAGACATTGAATATTAGATTCAGAACAAATTCAGAGATCCTACAATGAAAATGCATTCATATTTTGCTGGGAGGGCAAGAGGTACATACTTCAGCATACATTTTGCATTATCAGGACTCTACTACATGTCAGGAATGCTAGCAAAAGTATAGGAAGACTTGAATATTTGTTTCGAGCACACAGTACGTCTAGGAATACATTTGCATATCACAGAGAACGACTACACTATGAGAATACGATTGCAAGCAATGATTTCAATTGTAACCTGTGTCAGAAGCATAGGATTGACAAACCAGACAATAGGAGAATGATTACTTCAATACACACTGTTCTACTACTCAGTAGACCTTGAAATTACAAAGATAAGTATTTGAGAAGACCTACTTCAAGACTCAGAAGTTACCCAGGACTTTCAGACAGAGTTAGTTTTGCTATTTGTTTAGTAAAATTCACAGTACACACAATTTTACTAAGTCAGGCATATAGAACAAAGAGAACATTATGAATTGACTTTGAATTTGTCTACAAGCTTTAGAGAATACAGTACTACATTGTCAGCAATAGATATTCACTATTCAGGACCATCTATTTGAGACGAAAGTAAGAACTTATCAGCTTTACATAGGAATTATTAACAGTATATAGTCTATAGACAAAACAATTAGCTATAAGAAGGAACAGATCAATTGCACAGTTATGCACACAGTGCATTCTGACAGAACAGAAAGTCAGGACTTATACTCAAGATATTAATGAGTATTCAGACACAATTGTGAGATCAGAAAGTACAAAATACACATTGATATCAATAAACTATAGCTACAAGACAAGATATTTGATACAGAATAGATTCAGGACAGGTAATTGTACTAGAAACAGGACTTATAGTCGGACAACAGAGTATACAGTATTATGGGCAATCAATACAATGCTTCAGAGGAGAGGTAAGTCAAATAGACAGACTTGTGAATGTTGGACAACATTGATATTCGATCTACACAATCTAGGACATACTTCCATTGAGATTATGGAACTACAGGTATACAGAGTAACAACACTATTACCTAGGTACACAAGTACTTACAGAATCGTTAGGAATATAAAGTACAAAGCACTAGAGAGAGATTTGCTAAGAGAAAGGACATTACACTATTACTATCAAGTATTACTTTCAATACTATTGTGTATACACAGACCCAACAAAAGCAAACTGTTTCAAGAAAGAGAAACAGTACAAGACATCAGTTCTAAGGAAAGAAACTAGGAAATAACACATACAGGCAAGGATACAAACGCTTGGTTGAAAGCAAGATAGAATACAAACAGACATAGATTGAGATTCCATGAGACAATCACATAGTTCAAAGCACTACAGGATTACTTAGAGATACAGATACACACTACTGTCAATACATCATCTTCACAACTAGGAATACTCAATACTATGGATATTTGAATGAACAACAATCCATTGAGACACAAGGTAACACAGCAGACACAGGAATACAGTATGGAAATACAGGAAGAACTATCCAAAACATTGGAAACAAGTGTATATAGTCAGTTTTGCAAGGTTATCAGTAATATTTCAAGCAATTCAAGTAGGGAACACATTGTATTATCATTGGAAGGCAAAGGTAATACACCTTATTGGCATTGGACATTGTTAGTGTCATCAATTAGGACCAGGAGACACACAATAGACTAGTACTGTCATGGACTGTTCCTTGTAACAGTACAATTTATTTTGTAATTTTTAAAATAATTATACAAAATTTTACAAAACAAAAATTATGATAATTAAGTACATATACTAAAGTACAAATGTACCAATTTACAAGAAAAAATATTGAGAAATGAATAAGAAATAAAGTATACAATTATTAGGTCAAAAATGCATCCTACTGCTCCTTGTAACACTACTTTCCCACGGTCCTTTTTACTCCTCGTTAGAGCTATTCTCCTCATCCCCACTAATATTATCTATATCAAATGTCTCCAAATCCTCTTGATTATTTTTAGAGGGCTTTGGTTTAGGGATGGGAGGTTCAAGAGGACCTCTTTTTGGTTTATTCCACCTAATTTTCCTCTTCTCTTTCTTTGCATTCTCTTTCTCCTTCTCCCATTCTATTAACTGTGCTTTCCAATCACTAGTTAATTTAGAATTCCTTGCTTTCCTTTCAGCATTAATCCTTTCCCATTCTTTAAGCTTTTCAGAATAGCTTTGTCTAGCTATTCTTCTTTTCTCCTTTTCCTGTTCAACAGTAAGTTGGTACTGAACATGTTCTTTAACTTTTTCTGTAAAGTCATCTCCTGTAAGTAACCTAGGAAGTCCATCTCTAAGAAGTCTTCCTATTCCTTTAGGAAGACTTTTAGCTTGTTCTTTAGAGAATAATTGTTTCCTAAGTCTTTCACAGTAAATGTTCTGAAGTACCATACTTACTTGTAATCCTAATATTACCCCATATTGCTCTGCTTCTCTTTTAATATAATTTTCCAATTCATTTTGAAGTTTCTCTTCCAGTTCAGTTTCTGGAACAGAATTCAAAAGGTTTATTGGAATATTTTTAAGAGAAGACAGTTCTGGTACATGAAAAGGTAGTTGAGAAGAAGATTTAATTGGAGACTGAGAAACTAAAAATGTAGCAGATGTTTGAGATAAACCTTGTAAAGTATTACTTGATTCTTTTAAAAGAATAGAATCATTAAAGGTATTCTCATTATCTACTTGAGTTTCTGTCTCTTTCTCTTTTCCTTTATCATGTAAAGAAAGATTTTGTACTTGTACAATTAGTTTGGCAATTACTTTAACAGGTGATGGTTGAGGTAAAGGTAATCCAGAGCCTGTAGTAGAAGACTCTATACTTAGCTTTAAGAGTCTAGTATTAATTACTGCTGGATTAAATGGCCAAACACCTGTACATGAAAAAGCTTTTACTATATTCTCAGAAGTAAAGACTCTAATATGTGTAGGAGTATAAACTTGTAAAAAGTTAGCTTTACAAACTTCTACACCAGTCTCTTCTTCAAATTTAATTATTTCTTCTGAGAATACAGTTTTTAAAATGCCAAAAATTGCAACATCTAATCCTTGATAAATATGTGTTGTATGAGAGGGGTAACAGAGAACATGTATATTGTTCTCTTTACAGAAAAGGAGAAAAGGTAATGATAAATGAGATTGATGTCCATCTAGAATAAGAATTCTAGGTCTTCCATGAGCTTTATTCTTTGTGAGTTCATGAAAGTTTTTAACCTAATCAACACCAATCTCATTTTCAATATAACCCTTTTTAGAGTATCCTATACTAAAAATATTATTAGTATAATGTTTTAATATATATAATAAACAATACATACCTTGCATTTAAAGGGTTATTTTGATGCTAAGAGACTTGATATCCAGCACCAGAAAAGATAACAGCAGGTGGAAGAGATGTACCATCAGCACAAATAACAGGTAAAACTGTTATTAATTGTCTTTTTCCACCTTGCTTTTGTTTTTGAGACTTTTTATCAGTTGTCCTAATAACTCTACTTTTTTTCCCAATACTAGGTACAAAGCCTGTTTCATCTGCTACATAAATACAGTCTGGTTCAGCATTAGTTTCAGTTAAAACTTTTTCTAATAATTTAAACCAGACTGTATTTGTAACTGAGTTAACAGCTTTAGATCTTTTCCTATCAATGTTACGGTTCTCCGCTCTCGTACCTTCAGTTCCGAGGGTTCCGCACCCTTCCGTACCGGAACTCGGGACTTCCGTCCCTCGGGGGCGCTGTCTATGGACTATATGCGTGCTGACTCTTGCCACTACCCTTCCTTACTTCATCATTCCATTCCTTTGACCACCCCTTCATTCTTTGTATCATTCTATGGTCTCTTACCCTTTGTCCATCCCTTCATTCTTTGTACCTTTATCTTTGACATTCCTTTCTTTCATTCTTCGTGGCTCATCATTCTTAGTGGCTCATACTCCCTGAGTGCTCTTGTGTAGTTTAGTATATATAGGCGTACGAGATCAGACTGGTCCTGTAGTCTTGATCTCGTCTACTCCAGGTAGTCCTGTACTCTTAGGCTCACTCTATATACTCTACTCTTGTCTCACTCTCTCTCTCCGCCCGTTCCGCGAGTTCCGACTACGTTCCGGTGCTCGCGTCCCGCATTTCTGTTGTGTAGGATAGTTGTAGCCTGGGTCCCCTCGCTGAGCCTTCGGGTCCCCTCTACGCTGTCGCTGACATCAGATCAAGACTACCCATTACCACCCTACGACTCTCCTACGTTTCGGGCATCGGTACTCGCCGTTGCGTCGATCTCTTTCCTTTGTCCTGACCCTTTTACATTCTTAAATTTTAAACTTTCTAAACC